GGCTGAAGTGGGAGACTCTGCCTGCCCCAAAACAAGGTTGATGTGGCCCTAACGCACATCTGCTTCAGGCAGAGGCATGATCTGGATGGCAGGCCTGACATTAAGTCAGCAACGTTGCTTGTCCAGGGTGGCACTGAGGGAGGGTTTTGCTGGAGGGCTTTCCTTTGTGCCTCTCAGGCTCAGGAGCAGAACATCCCTGGAGCCAGCTCTTCCCAGCAGTGCTGGTTTCTCAATTACCTGGGGAGCAGGAAGCTATTACTCTAAAATAACTGGTTTAAAGTTGAGCACCCTGCTGCTGGAGGGTGATTGAGGGAACTGTCCTGCCCTTGAGCTCCTGGGCACACCAGGAACGTGGGTTTTTACCCCCAAGGGCTTTTGGTAGGAGTCCCTGGCAAAACTTCCCTCCCTGGAATTTGTCATTTGGATGGTGGATTAGTCACCACTGTCCTGTGATGTGGCTGAGGTGAAACCTTATGGTCTTGACAACTTTTTGGGAGCTCTTTGGTCATTGACAATCATCTCAAGGTATCAAGGATTAAATAAGTTTTCTTGACAAATGACTAAACTGCTGGAGTTTAAGGATTGCCTGCCAGGTGGTTAGCTCTCTTCATGCTTCTTTTAACCTCTGCACTCCAGGCCGTTGCTGCTTCCTGCCCTGCACTGTAGCAACTGTAATTCTCCGCTTCCCATGCTGTCCTTCTGAAAGGACCCTCACCATCGAAACACAGAGGCAGTGGCCCTCTCTCCTTTTTAATTTTAGGCTCTTGTTGCCGATTCCTGTAGGAAAGAGGCCCTGGCTCTTTCCTTGCCCTCTCCTGCAGCAGCATTGGCTCCCTGGCACGGTGTCTCCAGCCAGCTGTTGGCAGCACCGTGGTGGTGACAGGAGAAGGGCTCACCTGTCGTTTCTTCTCCTGCAGCAGTGAGCACAGAAGCAGCTGATGTGAATTCAGACAAAGAGGCAGAGTCTGAGGAGCCCCAGGAGAAAACAAAAGCCCAAGGGGCACCAAAAACAGAAGAGGAAGAGCAGGACCTAAAGGTATGGAGATGCAGAGGTGCGTGTTGGTGAGATTCGTCCCAGCTTGCGTAAGGGATGTGGCTGGGCACTCGGCAACTCTCCCAGACCCCGGTCAGTTCGCTGCTCTTCAGGGGCTTGCTGTGCTGCCGTCAGTGTGCAGGGAGGTGCTGGCTCCCTCCACTACCTCCCTCTGCGCAGGGGACGCCAACAGCCAACAGGGATACACTTGAGTTTGGGCTGTGGGTTTGGCACAGCTGGAGCATCCTTGTCTGCCTCCTGCGTTGCTGATGGGGTGGTACCGTACCCCTGCTGAAGTTCTAAACCTCAGATCCCAGCATGGCTGCAAGAGCAGTTTGCCCTGGCCCTGTGAAAGAACGGCTGTGCAGGATTGGGCCAGCATCTCTCCAGCCTGGTGTCCTGTCTCCAGGAGCCAGCAGCAGAGGCTTGAAATTAAAAAAAAAAAAGAAAAAAAGGAGGTGTGTGGGTATAAAGCTTGAGCCCTGGGTCTTGTCAAAGAGAGCAAACACTTTTGTCTTGACTTTCTTCTCACCAGTAACGATACTAGAGGCCTCTGGCATGTGCCCATTCAGTCCCGTTTCCAGGCTGAAGACTCCTTGTCCGTAATCTCTCTGGGTCTGGAGGTTGCCAGTACCTGTCGCTCTGCCCTTTGCCTGGCATGACTTTTTGAAGTTGTTAGATGCAAATTGGGGAAGCCCTGGGGATTTCTGCAGCATCGTGCAGACGTGTTTCCGATCCTTGATTTGCTCTTTTTGGATGTGGCTGAAGGATTCCCAGAGCCCCTTCCTGAGCTGTAGTAGTGGCACACGGAGCTACAGGCTCTGGGTGATAGTTGCACAGAGTGGTGAGGGAGATCTTTTCTATTTGTCCTTTTGATTCCCTGGTCACTCATTACCGTGAGATCTCCTGCAGTGTTAAATTTGGCTCCTGAGTAATTTTGTTTCATTAGCAAATGTTGTCACCTCCCTGTGCCAGATGGTTTACGGATGGGGAATCACCAGCTTGTGGTAGAACCCAAGTGGAAACATGCAGCAAAAGCTGACCTCCGGCCCTGCCCTCGTTTCCCATCATTTAACCATTTTTCCAGTGTGAAAGGGAAGGGCTTTGTTACCGTCCTCGTGACAGATTCAGCATCTCCCATAAAAGAAGTCGCAGAGTTTTGAGACGTGATGTTCCTGGCCCGAAACCACTGAGCCTCCCTCGGTATGGCATCTACATGAGGCTTGCCTGGTTTTTGAATTTAACTTGAAAGAAAAAAGGCCTGCAGCAGGACTCTGCTCGTTGGCTGCTGCGCCCCAGATGGCTGCCAAAAGCCTTTTAAGCTGTCATGTTTGCTGTCCCCTTTTCCCCTGGTTCTGGCGGTGCTCTGTGACAGACTGTGTGCTGTAGTGTGGTGCTTTCCCATGCAGGATCCCTTTAGAGCTGTTGGAGGAATGTCGTCTCCTCGGGTAATCGGTACCGTTTGCTTCATCGGTTCGGGGTAATCTCTCTTTTGCCGGCGCTCTGGTTTGCAGGAGATCCGGGTCCTCTGCTGTGAAGTCACGCGCTGCTGTGGGATCTTCCCTGGCTTCTCCGTAGCCACATTAATGTGGGAATTCATTTCCTTGCCTCAGGCTTCTCTAGTGCTGTTTGTCTGTCTGGCCCATCCCCCTTTCCAGAGACAGACACTGCGTTGCCGGCTTTGGGGACATTTCAAAGTCTTTTCTGAAGAGTGAAGGGGAAAATAAATTTTTAGAGCCCTCCTTAAAGCAATTGTGATGCCGCTTGCAGGCATCTACCCCGTTTTGGCTCTTGATTGCTGTCTGGCTTGCAACTGCTTTCCTGCAGTCCCCTCAGCCAGGGGGATTGATACGGGCGTTCCCCCTGTCCCCATGCAGTGCCCAAATTGGAGGTTTGACTCCTGTGGGACACTGGGGCTGAGTAACAATGGTCGCTGCAGGCTGGCCTGAATCTTAACAGTATCTACTGTTTCTGCTTGGGAATAAATCCAGAGCTGTTAACCCTCTCCTGCGCTTTCCTGCTAATTCCTCTGGAAAGCAGCAATTTACAAAGTCTGAAATTATGTCCTGGCCCCGCTTCCTTTGGGAAGCGGTTGAAGTATTGTATTTAACTCTTTCTGCCCTGGCGATTGCTCTGCTGTAACTCCAGAGCCGAGGCGCTGAAGCAGACTGAGCCCGTACCCTCCTTCAGGGCGGTGACTGTGCTGGGAAGTGCTGGGGGCTGCGGCTGGGAGCAGGGAGGGGTCCAAAGGAAGGAGGTGGGGTTCACTGGCACTTCCCGCAGCTACAGAGGAGGTCTGGTCCTGCCGGCCCACACCGACCCCCATCCCTGGGGTGCAGGAGTCAGTGGGGCTTAAAGGAGGGGGTGACAGATGCACACTTTCAGGGTGGCACTTTTCAGTCCCACCAGGCTGCGGGGCCAGGGGTGGTCCCGAATCTCGTTTGCCGGGGACGGCCTCGAGCTGCAGGGCCGCAGTAGCCCAGTGACACTACCCGAGGGTGGCTCTTTACTCTCCCCTTTCTCCCTGGCAGTTTCAGATTGGAGAACTGGCAAATACTTTGACTAGTAAATTGGAGTTCCTGGGCATCAACAGACAATCTATCTCCAACTTCCACATGTTGCTGTTGCAGACAGAGGTAACCGAGC